ACTACTGGACCCCAGCACGGCTCAAATCAGATCAGGAAGTCTAGACTCTCGGCCAGTGCAAGCAACCTCCTAGTACAGACTTGAATAAGCAGTAGGTGCTCAATCGGTGCACAACTGACCGAGTGTTTACCAGGTGGTTCAAAGCTTGAAATTTTCCAGTTTGGTCTAAACCTTTGGCCCCTATCCAGTTCCTCGGTCCCCTTGCCTGTAAAATGGGTTCGGTGGCAAGGTCAGTGGTTTTAAGGGAACCTGCAACTCTGACACTCTTGGATTCTAAGATTCTGCACAGCACCTTACAGTGCACAAGGGCATCTCACCCCCTCGGTGGCAGTTTATCCTCACAACTTCCTGGAGATAAAGATCACCACATTCTACCGAGGAGGCTCAGAGAGGGGAAGGGGTTTGTCCTGAGTCATGCAGTGAGTAGGGGCAGAGGTAGAGTAAGAACCCGGGCCTCAGAATTCCAGGGCAGTGTTTTTTCTCTGCACTATCCTGCCCTCACCCCCAGTTGCCTCAGCCGTTCCAAATCAAAGCCCACCTTCTCCAGGTCACCTTCTCTGATTGCTGCCTTAACTCCTGGAGCTGGCCTCCTCAGGGCAGTGAAGAACCACATCTCCTCCTCTGGTCTTCCTAACAGCTCTGAGCCCTGGACTGGTGGTAAAGAGGAACCAGGGGAGGGCTTGGCACAGGTAGGGAGAATCTCAACCAGATGATTTCTCAGGGACATCACCTCTGTCCCCACAACCCAAACACGTCACTCCTAATGAGCTCTGAAACTGCCACGTAGGAGGGGGCAGTGACTGCTAAATGAGGGAATGTGAGAGGATCTGGTGGCATATAACCCAAAAACCAAACCCATTGTCAAGTTGATTCCGACTCATAGTGACCCTGTAGGACAGAGCAGAACTAGGTGCTTAACAAATGTTTGTGAAGAAAAGGAAAAGAGAAAAGAAGGGAGGGAGAAGGTAGCTGGATAAATGAGGTATAAGTGGAACACAAAATAGAGGGCACATCAGTGAATGAGAAATTGAATAAATGAAGGAATGAGGGATGGCTAGAGGAGTAAGTGGCTGGGAAGATAAATGCATACCCATTGGCTCTGTGGGTGTTACAACTAAAGACCTAAGAGTTCTTTAATTATCAGTCTGCCCATTTGGCATATGAGAAGACTGAGACAGAGCTAAGGAGAAAAGCAAGTGCTGGGTCTGTGGGGCTGGCCTTTGACCAGCAGCCTCTGGTCCTCCCCCACCTCTCTCTCCACTCCCTCAGCTTCCTTTCCCCTGTTGGGTGGGAGAGAGTTGCTGGAAGGAGGCCTTTTTCTCCGCCTCCATGCTCTTCCAGGCCCAGTTTCCGCCAGGCCTTGGCGCTGGGGGCGGCAGGGAAGTGGCCACCCCCGCAGGGGCTATTTCAGTCAGAGACAGGCCCTCCAGGAAACAGAGGAAGCTGCCTGCCCCATCAGAGGTGTTCCAGTCTGGACTGAGGGCAGGGGAGTAGGGAGCCTCAAGTCTGACCTCCCCTTGCCCCAACGCACACGGGGCCACCAAGGTGCTGTGGGGACAGGAGACTGCATGTGAGTGTCAGTGTGTTCGAGGCCATGGGCAGTGCGGAGGGTGGAGAGGAAGAAACAGCTGGACACAAGGAACTGTGACTTTGGGCAGACAGGCTGAGTCCAACACTGACCTAGAGGAGATCCCCAGAATTGTGGGACCTAGAGGAGATGAGCAGAATTGGGGGGCCCAGAAGAAGGAACTCCATCCAGCTGGGGGATCAGAAAAGTAAGAAGCCACTTTGGATCTGGGGATTGATGGAAGGTTAGAGTTTTGACAAACAGAGGTGAGTTGGATGGCACTTTGCTTGAATGCAACAGCAAAGATGGGGAGACAGAAGGAGTCTCAGCCTCCGGCCTGTGAATGGCTGTGTGGCAATCTTGGTGTCTGGGGAACAATGTGACTAGAGAGGAGGGGGACAGGAATGACGAGTAGGGTAGAGAGGGGCTGGGGTACTTTAGATGAGGCTGAAGGGCTTATCAGGGGCCTTGAATGTCAGTAGAGGGGTTTGGGCTTTTCCCCAAAGAGCAGAGGGATGCAGGGAAGAGTGTAGTTAGATTCACCTGTTGGAAAGCCCCCCACCTGGCCAGAGTAGTGGCTGGCCAGTAAGAGGCTGGGGTCTGAGCTGTTCCAGGGCTTAGGTCCCAAGAGTAGGTGACAGATATGAGAGATAGAGGGAACCATGTCAACTACTGCCTGAGGTCAGGGCCAGGCCAGCCCTTTCTCTGGGCCAGCCCCTGCCAGGAACCTGGAGAACAGCTCGCACCTCCTAGGACCTCAGAAGGCAAAACAGATGGAGGAGCTGGGCAACAGCCACTCTGAAGCTTTGCCTGGAAGGCAGAAGGGCTCCCTAGATCCCCTTGTGCAGCCCCCTGCTTCCTTCTAAGAGAGAGGGGAGGGGTTCCAGGAGGGCCAGGAATTGGGAAGGGCAGAAAACAATTGGAGTCTTGGGGTACCTGAGGGAGGGGGTTCTCTAAGGCGTAGGTCTGAGGACACCAGGCCTCCCAAAGTGGAGCTCAAGGGCACAGCACACTTCCTCCTACCCCCATTCTCTTCTCCATAACCCTCAGCCCTAGCAGGCTGGCCTGCTCTCAGACCCTGCCCGCTTCACCTTCCTTCCTTCTCACACCCCTCTCCACCCATGGAAATCCTCCTCAACCACCAGTGCCCTGCTTCGTCCTTCAACCTCCTCTGAAGAGTCCCTCCAGCCTCTGGCCTACCGTGGGCTCTCCCTCACACTAGCATCTCTGTCTTTCTCTATCTCTGCATCTATATCTACATCTATATACTGTGCCCTCATGCCTCCCTCCAGCAGGCAGTAAATACTCAGTAAATGCTTGGAATGTAAAAACAAGAGAATAAATGCATGAATGAATAAACGGCCAGAACAAATGAATAAAAAGATGAATGAATGAATTTTCTCTTTCCTGTACTAGTTTGGCTCCCTGGCTACAGTGGGGGGACCATCATGCTTCCTTTTCTTGTCTTAGCTGGGCACCCAACACTCCAACCGCATGGGCTGAAGCCCACAAAACAGCTTTGATGATGAAAGACCAGGTGGTGTGGGGTGTGGGTTGCAAGCTAGAGAACTCTAACATCATCATTTTGCAATTGCCCAGAATCTGGGTAAAATATTTTCATCAAAATCAAATTTAAGTTGAAAGGAATTCATTTGGAGAGTTTTGCTTTAATATAACTTTTTAAAATCTCTAACTTTACTTCGCTCGTTCCTACTGACAAAGTATATTCACATTAAGAACAGTTAATACTTGTGCCAGGCACTAATCCTCACCACACTTCTGTGATGCAGGTACTATATCACCCTGTTTTGCAGTGGGGAAACTGAGGCACGGAGGTTAAGACCACACCACTCACACACAGCAGAGCTGAGATTTGAACCTGGCCATTTGGGCCAGGGTCCATGCGTTTGGTCTCAACTCTCCACCACTCTCTGAGTGCATTTGCAGGACTTCATATTCTTTTCAGCCTCAGTTTATCTCACTAGTAAAACAGGGAGATAGGCGGATTGGATTCATTATCTCAAAGGCTTTGCCCTAGAGGTCCATTGGATTTAGTTTGTAAATTCTCTCCAGAAGCCAGTGAATGTGGAAATGCCAGTTTGGAGGTAGGTATCCAGGAGTCAGACTTTCCCCATCAGGAAACCCTTTAAGACATTTGTGCTGCTGCCCCCTGCCCCCCACCCCCACCCCAGACCCAGCCTGACAGATGAGGGACAAGGTGTGGCATACAGTGGCATGGCATTTATTGAGCACCTACAGCATATCAGGCCCATGGCACATTTTATTGATAAGGACACAGGCCCAGAGAAAGCAAGTGACATACGCTAGGTCATACAGTATGGAAGTGGGGGAGCCAGGATTTGAACCCAGACCTGCCTAGCTCTGAAGCTGGGCTTGTCACCTCCACACCCTGTGCCTGTGGGCTACACCAGGTTGCCCCCTCTGAGTCAGATGATTGGGTTATGGTTCTGGATCTGTTTCTAACTCATTGAGTAAGAGGGAGTAGTCACTGCCCCTCCATGTGCCTCGGTTTCCCTCTCCATAAATTAAGGGGTTGACTTGATTGGTCCCTCCTCCCATTTGCCTTCAGGGAAGCTGTTTTCACTCTTACCACCAGAGCGAGCTGCTGCTTCAGTGGTTCTGCCAGATTAGTCTTTGTAGCCCAAAAAAAACCCAAACCCGTTGCCACTGGGTCGATTTGGACTCATAGCGAACCTGTAGTCAAGTGGAAAAAGGCCTTAGGAAATTCCTGGATCCCCTTCTTTCTCCATTTTACAGATAAGGAGATTGCAGCCAAAAGAAGGACCATGGTTTGGAAGGTGGAGTCCAGACGGAGATCATATCGGGGTTAACTAAGCCCTGGGCTGGGCTCTCAGACATAGAGAGGCACCAGACCTGACACTTCTCAGGGGGGCCCCAGTCCTTGTGGGAGAGACAATCTCCAAACCCCAGGGAGCCCAAGGATAGCAGGAAGCCCTGCCTAGCATCCACATGACCGCCCTGAGAGGTAGGTGCCTCATTCCCCCATTTTCCAAAGTGAGGCTCAGAGAAGGTATATCACTAGCCCAAGGTCACACAGCTAGTGAGTAGCAGAGTCCATCAGCCTCCACTAACAGAGAAGAAGACATTTGAGCAGGGTTTTGAAGGATGAATAGGAGTTCACCAGGAAGGCTGATGAGGAATGGATACTATAAAAAGAAAGCAAATTGGATTTCTCCCAAGCTTGAGTTTTATTGCATTCCAGGTTTCCTTAAAGTGAGGGCTGTGTGGGGCCTCTGTGTGGGTGGTATATATCAGAGACAGACAAAGTTGGTGCCCTCATTGTTCAGATGGGGAGATCAAAACCCAGAGAGGGTCAGGGGCCTATTGGGTAGTCAGTGGGTGCAGTCACTGACAGGTTGTGTGTTACTTCCTCAGTGTCTCCGGACATAGGAAGCCCGGTTGGGTAGCCATGGAGCTGGACAATGGCACTGGCCAGGACCTGGGCTCACTACCCACTACCTGCATCTACCGCGAGAACTTCAAGAGGCTCCTACTGCCACCTGTTTACTCAGTGGTGCTAGCAATCGGCCTGCCGCTCAATGTCTGCGTTATAGCCCAGATTTGTATGTCCCGTCGGGCCTTGACCCGCACTGCCGTGTACACCCTGAACCTAGCCCTGGCTGACCTGCTCTATGCCTGCTCCCTGCCCCTGCTCATCTATAACTACGCCTGTGGTGACCACTGGCCCTTCGGTGACTTCGCCTGCCGCCTTGTCCGATTCTTCTTCTACGCCAACATGCACGGCAGCATCCTGTTCCTCACCTGCATCAGCTTCCAGCGCTACCTGGGCATCTGCCATCCTCTGGCGCTCTGGCACAAGCACGGGGGCTGCCGGACTGCCTGGTTAGTGTGTGGGGCTGTGTGGCTGGTTGTGACTGCCCAGTGCCTTCCCACAGCTACCTTTGCCACTACAGGCATCCAGCGTAACCGCACTGTCTGCTACGACCTGAGCCCGCCCGCCCTGGCCATCCACTACATGCCCTATGGCATTGCCCTCACGGTCATTGGCTTCCTGCTGCCCTTTACCTTCCTACTGGCCTGCTACTTCTGCCTGGCCTACCGCCTGTGCCGCCAGGATGGTCCAATAGGGCCAGTGGCCCAGGAGCGGCGTAGCAAGGCAGCCCGCATGGCTGTGGTGGTGGCAGCCACCTTTGTCATCAGTTTCCTGCCTTTCCACATCACCAAGACAGCCTACCTGGCGGTGCGTTCTACATCCGGAGTCTCGTGCCCCGTACTGGAGACATTTGCAACCGCCTACAAGGGCACACGGCCCTTTGCCAGCTTCAACAGTGTGCTGGATCCCATCCTCTTCTACTTCACCCAGAAGAAGTTCTGCCGTCAGCCACACAAGCTAATGCAGAAATTCACAGCCAAGAGCCAGCAGCAGGGTCATTGAGCCCATGGAGGCAGGACACCCAAGGCCTGGGCAACCATCATGTCCTCCACTGTGGCTGGGGCAGCAGTTGTTAGGTGCCATCGAGTCAGTTCCAACTTATAGCGACCCTGTGTACAACAGAATGAAACAATGCCCGATCCTGCACCATCCTCACAACCATTGCTGTGTTTGAACCCATTGTTGCAGCCACTGTGTCAATCCATGTCATTGAGGGTCTTCTTTTTCACGGACCCTCTACTTTACCAAGCATGATGTCCTTCTCTAGCAACGGGTCCCTCCTGATGAGATGTCCAAAGTACATGAGACAAAGTCTTGCCACTCTCGCTTCTAAGGAGTATTCTGGCTCTGCTTCTTCCAAGACAGATTCGTTCATTCTTCTGGCAGTCCATGGTATATTCAATATTCTTCGTCAACACCATAATTCAAAGGCACCAGTTCTTCTTTTGTCTTTATTTATTGCCCAGCTTTTGCATGTATATGAGGCAATTGAAAATACCATGGCATGGCTCAGGCACACCTCGTCCCCAAAGTGACATCTTTGCTTTTTAACACTTTTAAGAGGTCTTTCGCGGCAGATTTGCCCAATGCAACACGTCATTTGATTTCTTGACTGCTGCTTCCATGGGCGTTGATTGTGGATCCAAGTAAAATGAAATCCTTGACAACTTCAATCTTTTCTCCATTTCTCATGATGTTGCTTATTAGCCCAATTGTGAGAATTTTTGTTTCCTTTACATTGAGGTATAATCCATATTGAAGGTGGTAGTAGTCTTTGATCTTCATCAGTAAGTGCTTCAAGTTCTCTTCATTTTCAGTAAGCAAGGCTGTGTCATCTGCATATCACAGTTGTTAATGAGTCTTTCTCCAATCCTGACGTGTATTCTTCTTCATATAGTCCAGCTTCTAGGACTATTTGCTCATTATATAGATTGAATAAGTATGATGAAAGGATACAACCCTAATGCACACCTATGCTGACTTTAAACCAAGCAGTATCCCCTTGTTCTGTTTGAGTGACTGCCTCTTGGTCTATGTACAGATTCTTCATGAGCACAATCAAGTGTTAAGAAATTCCCACTCTTCACTATGTTATCCATAATTTGTTATGACCCACACAGTGAATGCCTTTGCATAGTCAATGAAACACAGGTAAACATCTTTCTGGTACTCTCTGCTTTCAGCCAGGATCCATCTGACATCAGCAATGATATCTCTAGTTCCATGTCCTCTTCTGAATCTAGCTTGAATTTCTGGCAGTTCCCTGGCAATGTACTGTTGCAATTGTTTTTGAATTATCTTCAGCAAAATTTTACTTGTGTGTGATATTAATGATATTGTTCAATAATTTCTGCATTTGGTTGGATCACCTTTCTTGGGAATAGGCATAAATACGGATCTCTTCCAGTCGGCTGGCCAGGTAGCTGTCTTCCAAATTTCTTGCCGTGGATGAATGAGCACTTCCAGCATTGCATCCATTTCTTGAAACATCTCTATTGGTATTCCATCAATTCCTGGAGACTTGTTTTTCACCAACGCCTTCAGTGCAGCTTGGACCTCTTCCTTCAGTACCATTGGTTCTTGATTATATGCTACCTCCTGAAATGTATGAATGTCAACCAATTCTTTTTGGTACAGCGACTCTGTGTATTCCGTCCATCTTCTTTTGATGCTTCCTGTGTCGTTCAATATTCTGCCCATAGACTCCTTCACTATTGCAACTTGAGGCCTGAATTTTTTCTTCAGTTCTTTCAGCTTGACAAATGCCAAGCGTGTTCTTCCCTTTTGGTTTTCTAACTCCAGGTCTTTGCACATTTCATTATAATACTTTGTCTTCTCGAGCCACCTTTTGAAATCTTCTGTTCAGCTCTTTTACTTCATCATTTCTTCCATTTGCTTTAGCTGCTCAACATTCAAGAGCAAGTTTCAGAGTCTCTTCTGACATTCATTTTGGTCTTTTCTTTCTCTTCTATCTTTTTAATGACCACTTGCTTTCTTCATGTATGATGTCTTTGATGTCATTCCACAACTCGTCTGGTCTTTAGTCATTAGAGTTCAGTGCATCAAATCTATTCTTGAGATGGTCTCTAAATTCAGGTGGATATACTCAAGGTCACACTTTGGCTCTTGTGGACTTGTTTGAATTTTTTTTCATCTTCAACTTGAACTTGCATATGAGCAATTGATGGTCTGTTCCGCAGCCAGCCCCTGGCCTTGTTCTGATTGATGATATTGAGCTTCTCCATCGTTTTTTTCCACAGACGTAGTCAATTTGATTCCTGTGTATTCCATCTGGCAAGGTCCACGTATATAGTCACGGTTTATATTGTTGAAAAAAAGGTATTTGCAAGGAATAAGTCATTGGTCTTGCAAAATTCTGTCATGTAATCTCCAGCGTCATTTCTGTCCTTAAGGCCATATTTTCCAACTACCGATCCTTCTTCATTTTCAACTTTCGCATTCCAATCACTAGTAATTGTCAATGAATCGTGATTGCATGTTTGAGCAATTTCAGACTGCAGAAGTCGGTAAAATCTTCAATTCCCTCATCTTTGGCCTTAGTGGTTGGTGCAGCAGAAGCCCCACCACCCCTAGACCATGCATAGAGAGAATCAGAGCTAGCTCTGCTTGGCCTGGAGTAAGGTCAACCACAGAACTAAAAATCTCATCAGTAAGTATTTATTGAGCCCCTTCTCTGAGACAGACATTCCTAGGCCTGACTCTGGCCCTTGAGAAAGTCCCAGTCAGCCATGGGGACTTGGGGAAACCATGTTAAACTGCTCACAAAAATATAATGTGACATGTACTGTAATCGGGGGTATGCTATGTGCTGTGGAGTTACTAAAGAAGGGGAAGAGGGAAGATGGGAGAAAGAGATGAGAGCTTCTGTGAAGGGGCATTTGAGCTGGGTTTTGAGGGATGAATATGAGCTCTCAGGGAGGGGGTATGATGTTTCATTCATTTTTCAAACCTTTACTGACACCTTGTGCTTGGGCCTTGGTTGAATCTGGGGGTCTCAGAAGAACCAGCCCTAGCCCTGCCCCATACAGCCTCCCAACTCCTGAAGTTACAGACACTGACACAGTGATGTCAGACCTGGGGGTGGGGAGATCCCAGACAATGCCCCTGGCACTCAGCACAAGGAGTCAAGGAAGACCTCACTGAAGAGGAGCCATTTGAACCAGATGTTGAAGGCTGAGAGGGAGCTCAGCAAAAGAAAGTGGGGAACACTTTCAGGCAATCTGGTCCAGTCTTGTGCTAAGCTCTGCCCTGATGGAGATGGAGAGAGGACTAGGGTAGAGAGCATATGGTTTCACATGTGAGAAAATAAGAGCTGTCCCACTGCTACCCTCCAGACAAGGGCAAGAATGGGCCAGATACTCCAGGCTGGGGGAGCTCTGCAGAGGGAGGAATCAGGAGGGCTTCTTGGAAGAGGTGGGGCTTGAGCTGCTGCTTTGTTTTTCTTGACCAATGTATTGTGACCTCTACAAGAGTCCTCTGGTCTCCCTTCAGGGCCCTGACCTGTGGGTGACATGGCCCCACCCCTAGTCCCTAGGGATGGGCAGGGTCCACACAGCGGCAAGGGGCATATCCTCACAGAGGGCAGTAGGACCCAGAGAGCGATAATGTTGCTCTGGTTTCAGATCCTTCCAAATGCTAACCAAAATTGCATTCGGTTGCTTATCTATCTTGTGCACTGCTGTTCCGGCAGACACCAAGTCCACCCACATCTGCCTTTGGGTCACTTTCAAGGGGCCCTTGGACCCTCATGTCGCAGGTTTCTCAGTCTTTCTTTCCTCTTTTCCCACGGTTCACACCCCCTTCTCTCTAGCCTTCTTGGTTTCACCCAAATCAGCTATGGCTTGACCCACCTGATACACTGTCTGGCCCACTAAGGGACTAACTACAGCCACCAGAGAGCAGTACCAGGAGGGAGGAGCCACCTGAAGGATCCTTGCTTTCATTCCAGCAGTAAGAATTTCATTGTCTAGCGCCTGGAAGTGCTCGGCATAAACGGTGTCGTGCATACCTAATTCCTGAATTAACTGCTGTAACTCTTCTAGGGAGAACCATTTCCCGACCGTGCCAGGACGATTGCCCTCATTCAGCCAAGCTCTTCTATAACACAAGATGATCCAATCTGTGAGGCTGTGTGTGCAGTCTGTGTTCCAAGCTTCGTGTAAACGCCCCCACAAGAGGGCGGGGTAGGTGGTTATACTGCTCATTTTCTCAGCCTCAGCTCCATTTAAAGAGACACCGTCTCCTCCAATATCCCGCAGAAGTAGTAACCAAGCCGCAATGGCTTCCTTCCCTTTCTGCTGGAATTACCCACACAACTCAATAAGCTCAGTAGGGGTTTATTCGTGCATTGTCGTGGAACTGGCTGATAGGATTTCATCTCTGGGGTCATCAGGTTCCCAGGCAGCTTTCATCTTAGGAGTAATGAGCGGCCATGCCAGGGGGGTGCTGGTCTGCACTGTTGGACTCCTCCTGCACTGTCACTTCCACAGCCGATTCACTACTAGAGCCACTCTCCCACGGATTCCACGTTTTCTCATCCCAGTCACCTCTCATGAACACTCCCCTAATCCTTGCCTTTGGCACTTTCCTTCCCCCCAGCTGTACAAACGTGCAGGTGAGGTCTCTAATTGCTTGTCCTGCTCTCAGACTCAGGGCTACTTAATATGCTAGTCGTTGCCACACAGGACTGGAGAGCATTTCTTTTTAATGGCAGCACTTCCTGCAGGGTTCTCATGAGTGCTTCAGCAGCTAGCTGGGTCTTGATGGCCAGCTGAACAGCCCAGAGCACAGGCCATGCCACGGCCACTGCTACTCTCCTAGCTTCCTTTCCACACTTATAAAGGTGTGTGTCCTCCCACAACCGTGCTATGCCGCTTGGCGTTTTTGGGGTGTCCCTGTACTCAAGCTGTGGGCTGCATGCATCAAGCATATAGGCCAGACCTCCCCACATGGAGGTCACAGGCCAACCTGGGATTTCCCCT